GCTCCAAAGCCAGCCCAGGGTGCTCTGAGGAGGAAAGACCCAGCCTGTGCCGGGAAGGCGGCCGGAGCTTGAGGCAGAGCTCTGAGCTGGTGGTCCCAGAGCAGCCTCCCAGCAGGGAGAAGCCCTTCAGGTGCTTGGAATGTGGGAAGAGCTTCAGCCGGAGCACCATCCTCCTCACGCACCAGCGCATCCACACTGGGGAACGGCCCTACACGTGTGGAGAATGTGGGAAGAGCTTCAATGACAGGTCCAACCTGATCAACCACCAGCGCATCCACACTGGGGAACGGCCCTACACGTGTGGGGAATGTGGGAAGAGCTTCAGCCGGAGCTCCCACCTCCACATTCACCAGCGCATCCACAGCAGGGAACGGCCCTACAAGTGTGGGGAATGTGGGAAGAGCTTTAACCAGAGTTCCCACCTCCACACGCACCAGCTCTTCCACACTGGAGAACGGCTCTACACGTGTGGGGAATGTGGGAAGAGGTTTCAGACCAGCTCCAGTCTCCTCCTGCATGAGCGGATTCACACGGATGAGAGGCCCTTCTGCTGCACCGACTGCGGGAAGGGCTTCAACCGCAACTCCACCCTCATCAGGCACCGGCGCATCCACACAGGGGAGAGGCCCTACAAGTGTGGGGAGTGTGGGAAGAGCTTCACCGACAGCTCTACGTTGACCTCACACCAGCAGACCCACCAATAAGGAAAGCCCTGCGAGTGTCCCGACTGCGGGAAGAGCTTCGGCCGCTGCTTCCACCCCGAATGAAGCCCCTGATGCTGAGGCAACCCCTGGAGTCCAGTGACTGTCAGTCCATCCCTTTCGACCACAAAGGGCCAGTCCCCTTTCCCAGGGGCGGCTTCTTCCAACAGAACCCTTCTGGGAGGGGTGTGTGGAGATTCCTGCCTTGGCTGGGGACCCCCCCAAGGTCACTGCTGGAGGTTGAGAGCAGAGATCTCCCCACCAGCGTTGGTCTGGGGGAGTTCCATCCATCTCTAATTAAGAATTCTTGCTTTTGGGCCAGCTTGAGTAGAATTGCTTCAACAATTGCTTTAGTGTAGAGCACTGTCCTATCTTGTTCTGTACTCCTGGTAGTTTTAGTGTTTCTGTTGTGCAGTAAATAATTCTGATGAAGATCTTTTGTCTGATCACTTATAACTGATGCCTTAAGCCCCTATTAGCTTTTATTTTTCTAATTTTTGTAAGCCTTATAAGTTTTATAAGTAGTAGAAGTAGATTTTAAAAGCAGCAGCCCTCACTCCCTTTCCCTGTAGTACAAGTAGTTTACACATTCCTTAACCCTCTCACCCCATTCTGTGCTCCCCATATCAAATCTACCCCTGAATTCAGTGGCAGTGTTTAGTCTGTTGTCAAGGCAAGGCCTGTGCTGTTTAGAGAACACCCATATCAGGGCCTGAATAACAAAACAGAGTCAAGAACTAGGTGACTATGTACCCTTTGTGCTCTGAAGATGGTGAAGATGATGAAGGAAAGGCCCCCAGACCCAATTCTCAGGGGGTGGACCCGGGGCGGATCAGAGCAAAGGCTCCAGGGTGGATACACTTGGGGTTGGAGGGATGGTGTTATAAAATGTAACGTCTCGGGCACAGAGGCGCGCGTGGTGTAACACCTATTGCCTTGGCACAATGAAACCCTTTCCTTATCTCACCCCTAATTAACTGCTCCTGAGTTATTTTTTAGCATCAACATTCCACAGCATCATAACCCTAAATAAATTCATTTCTATCAGTAGATCTGATTTGCCATCATTAAAACCTGGGGGACAAAAGTGGTTCAGTCACAGCTCTGTAATTCCTCTAAATATAAAATGTTGACAAGATTCAAGGCTGAGATTGGATCCAGCAGCCCCCAGCACCCCACAGGAAGTTGAGAGCTCAGGGGGGCCAAAACCTGGTTTCCAAAGACCCCCATGGGACTGTTGGACCCTCCAGACCATCCCCCCTTTTCCACCCTTCTCCCTGTTCCTCTCACTTTTTCATGGCCCCCTCAATCCCCAGCCGCTCCCTCAGTGATCCTCAGAATCACTGAGGTCTCAACTCCCACTTTTTTCCCTCCTCTCCCACCCCTTCCACATCATCCCCCCACTCCCCAGCCCCCTCATGCTCAGTTTGGGGGTCCCACCCTCCCCTTTCCCCACTCTTCTGACCTCTCCCACCCATTTCCCAACATCCCCCAAACCTCAGTGCCCCTCCTCCTCCACTTTTGTGGGGTCCCACTCCCCTCCCACTCAGTTTGGGGTCCCACCACCCCTTTATCCCCTCTGACCCCCCTTTTCCCACCCCCACTCACCCAAGAGCTCCTCGCCCGCAGCCGGGGGGGCTCCCAGCACCACCAGTGCCCAGAGGAGTCCCTCAAAAAAGGGGTTAGTTGGGGTCCTGGGTGAGCTTTGATTATGTTTGGTGGTCCTAGGGGACTGTGGGGAGGTTTAGGGGGGTTGCAGCACCTTTTGGGGTGAGATGGGTTCCTTTTGAGAGGCAGGTGCCCCACCAAGACCCTCCCAGAGTGGGTTG